TAGGGGCGGCACTAGGACCGGGCGATATTCCCAGATAGGGGCGGCACTAGGACAGGGTGATATTCCCAGATAGGGGCGGCACTAGGACCGGGCGATATTCCCTGGAATGGGCGGCACCAGGACCGGGCGATATTCCCTGGAATGGGCGGCACCAGGACCGGGCGATATTCCCTGGAATGGGCGGCACTTTAGTACCGGGCGAATATTCCAGGGGGTGAGGTACAGGAGAAATGCCCAGGGAGTAGAGGGGGGGGGGGGTAAGTGCCATGTGGGGGGGTACCAGGGTGGGTTGGTCCAGGGGATTGGGGGGGGGTCGGGAGGGGGGAAGGGGCATGTGGGAAAGGGGGGAGTGAGGGGGGGAGGGTCCCAAGGGGGGGTGGGTGGGGGGGGGAGGGTAGGGAAGGGGGGGGGGGGGAAGTGGGGATGGAGGAGGAGAGGGGGGTTGATGGGGCCCAGAGGGGGGGGAAGGGGGGGAAGGCCAGTGGCATGGGCGGCACCAGGACCGGGCGATATTCCCTGGATGGGCGGCACTAGGACCCAGCGTTATTCCCGGGACAAGCGGCACTAGGACCCGGCGTTATTCCCAGATCGGAGGCCCCGCCCCGTGCACCTGTACCGGGGGAAGGAGGGGGGGGGACAGGTAGCGGAGGTGGCCCCGCCCCTCCCGGACTCACCTGAGGCCCCGCAGCCGCCCTGGAGCTGGTGAGCGGGGGAGGGGAACGGGGGTCCTGGTGCTGAGCCCCCGCCGCGGTGAGGGGGTCTGGGGGTCCCGGTGAGGAGCCCTCGCCACGGGAGGAGGGGTCTGGGGGTCCCGGTGAGGAGCCCTCGCCACGGGGGGAGGGGTCCGGGGGTGCGGGTGGTCCCGGTGCGGAGCCTCGTTCCGCAGTAAAGGGGTCCGGGGGTCCCAGTGTGGAGCCCTTGCCCGAGGGAAGGGGGTCCGGGGGTCTCGGTGGTTCTCGTGCCGAGCCCTCGCTGAGGGGGAAGAGGGTCCCGGGGGTCCCAGTGTGGACCCTTCTTCACGGGAAGGGGGTTTGGGGGCCCCAGTGCGGAGCCCTCGCTTCTGGGGAAAGGGGTCTGGGGGTCCCAGTGCGGAGTCCCTGCCCGGGGGAAGGGGTCTGGGGGTCCCCGGGGGTCTCGGTGTGGAGCCCTCGCTTCCGGGGAAGGGGGTCTGGGGGTCCCAGTGCGGAGCCCCCCTCGCCCTAAGGGAGTCGGGGGTCCCGGTTCCTATCGGGGTCCAGGGATGGAGCCGCTCTCGCTCCGCGGGAAGTGGCTCCGGGGGTCCCGGGGGCCCCAGTGTGGACCCTTCTCCATGGGAAGAGGTTCTGGGGGCCCCAGTGTGGACCCCTGGCCGGGAGAAGGGAGTCCGGGGGTCCCGGGGGTCCCGGTGTGGAGCCCTCGCTTCCGGGAAAGGGGCCTGGGGGTCCCAGTGTGGAGTCTCTGCCGGGGAAAGAGGTCCGGGGCTCCCGGGGGTCCCAGGGTGGAGCCCCCTCCCCCATCAGGGGTCCCGGTGTGAGGGTTAAGGGGGTCTGGGGGATCCCGGTGTGAGGGTTAAGGGGGTCTGGGGGGTCCCGGTGTGAGGGTGAAGGGGGTCGGGGGGTCCGGTGTGCGGTTTTTTAAGGGGTCTGGTTGGGGTTCCACCCCCCCCGTGTGCGGGTTTTTCACTGGGGGTCTTGGGGTCCCGGGGTGCGGGATTAAAGGGGTCTGGGGTGGCCCCGGTTGATGCGTGTTCCGAGGGGTCTGGGGGGTCCCGGTGTGAGGGTTAAGGGGGTCTGGGGGGTCCCGGTGTGAGGGTTAAGGGGGTCTGGGGGGTCCCGGTGTGAGGGTTAAGGGGGTCTGGGGGGTCCCGGTGTGCAGGGAAAGGGGGGTCCGGGGGATCGCGGGGTGGAGGGGGAGTCTGGGGGTCCCAGCGCGGAGCACTCGGGGGGAGGGTTGGGGCCCCGGGGGTCCTGCTGCGGAGCCCCCCCTCCGTGGAAGGGGATTCGGGGGGTCCTGGGATGGAGCCCCCGGGGCAGCTCAGCGGCTCCAGGGGCTGTGGTAGCTCCAAGTAACAGATATTAATATATTAATAATAGATTATTATTATATTAATTCATATATAATATAACATAAATTATAATACAATAAATAATATATTCGTAATATATTAATTAATATATAATTTAATAGTGTAATATAGATATACTATAATAAATAATATATTCATAGTTTATTAATAATGCATTAATGTATATTAATAATATATTAATATAACTATATTACGGCATTAATATGTCAATACTGTATCAATACATCAATATATCAATATGTTATCAAGGGGGTGGGAGGACCCCGCCCCCTCCTCCCCCCCCCGGGTCACCCCAAACCCCCCCGGCGGGGCAGAGACCCCCCCGACCCCCCCATCCCTGGGGGTTCCCCAAGTCCCGGAGCGGGTCCAGGACCCCTTGGATTCATCCCAAGGGAGCGGGAGCAGCAGCACCAACCCCCTCCCCCTCCCCAGCCCCTCCCGCAGGAGCCGAATCCCACCGGGAACAATCCCGGGCTGGGTTGGCTTTTCCCGCTCCCGCCGTCCTGTCTCTGCCACGTGGATCCCGCGGCCACGTCGCCCGCGGCCGCGCCGGTGTCGATTTACTCCCATTTTATTTATCTTCCCTTTTTTCCCCCCCTCTCCCCCCTCCGAGGATTCCTCTGTCCATTTTCCTTCCTCTTCCCACCGTTCCTCCTTCCCGCGCCGGGGGATGCTCCTCAAATTCCCACCAGGCCCCTCCTTTAAACCCCTTTTCTGAACCCGGAATGCTCCGCTGGGTAGTTTTGGTCTTGGTTTTACTCCTATTTTATTTATCTTCCCTTTTTTTTCCCCTCTCCCCGAGGATTCCTCTATCGATTTTTCTTCCTCTTCCCACCGTTCCTCCTTCCCGCGCCGGGGGATGCTCCTCAAATTCCCACCAAGCCCCTCTTTTAAACCCCTTTTCTGAACCCCAAAGGCTCCGCTGGGTCGTTTTGGGGTCGGTTTTCCAGGGTGCGGGAACCCCGGAAACCTTGGAAACGTCCCTGGCGCCCCGCGGGGTTTTCGGGATGGCATTTTTGGGATGGGCTGGAGCGGCGTCCGGCTGGGATTTTCCAGCGCAGGTGCACCAGGAGCTCGACGCCAAAAAAGGGTCGAAAAGCCAAATATAAATTAAAAATCCCCCCCAAAAAAGACGGGATCGGGGTCGGAGCCCCCCGGGAGCCGCAGCTTGTTGTGCACAAACCCGAACACCTGAGCGCCGCCTTGGGCTTAATTAGCGCCGCGCTCCTAATGAGCTTCGTTAGCAACGCGGCGGGAGCACCCGGAGAGACGCGGGGACGACGGAAACAAATGGGATTTTCTTTTTCTCCCCCAAAACCCGCGTTTTTTTCCCGCCGTGCGACGAAACCGTCGGGGCGCGTGGCGGGGGGCAAAATTTCGAGGCGAGAGCGGAAATAACGAAGGGATTTATTTTTTTTTCCCCCGTAATTCCGCTTTTCCGAGGAGCCGGCGGGTGGGGAAAGGGCCGCCCTTTGCAGCGGAGCGTGGAGCGGCCGCCGGCTTTGATCCCGCGGCGCCAAAAGGGGGAACCTTCCTCCTCCTCCTCCTCCTCCTCCTCCCTCTTCTTCTGCTCCCCTCCTCCTCCTCCTCTCAACCCGAATTTCCTCGCCCTTGAAGTTGTGGCAAGTGTCCTCCTCCCCCCCCTTTTTCCGAGACAATAAATAAAAAAAAGGGGGGAAAGGGAGTAAAGGGAAGAGGGGTAGGAACCCGGATGAAGAGTCGGTGAATGGATCCCGCCGTGCTCGGCCACGCTCGGGCGGCCGCGGCTTCACAAGGAGGAGCCGCGGGAGGGTTTTTGGGTTTTTTTTTTGGGGGGAAGGGGGTGGTGGGAAAAGCTCGGAGCTTCCGACGGATCCCGCTGGAAATTCGGGAGCTGGCGCAGGAGCTCGCGGCGGCCGCAGAGCCGCCGGACCCGCCGCTCCCGCTCGGCAGAACCTGCGGCGGCTCCTTCCCCGGAGTTTTCCTTCTCCCGGTATTTTTCCTTCTCCCAGGAGTTTTCCTTTTCCCCCAGGCAGGAAAAACTCCCCGCGGAAAAAAAGGCTTTTTTTTTTTTTTTTTTTTTTTCCCCCTCGCGCCGCCAAAAGTATTTCGGGCAAATTTTGGGCTCTGGTTTGGGTCGGGAGCGCGAGGGGAGGCGGCGGGAGGGGAGGGGGGACGCTGCGGCCGCCGGGTCGGTCACGGGAGAAACTTTTAGGGCCGAATCCAGGACATCTTCCAGCTGTTCATTAACCCTCGCTCGTTCCTGGTGTTCGAATTTTAGGGTGGATTTAGAGGCTGGAAGGGCCGGGGGAGGGAATGAATGTCACAGGTGTCGTTTGTGCCCTTGCAGGGAGTGAAATTTGTATTCAACCATTATTAATATTACGTTGTTAATATTACTTTACTATATTGCTCTATTAATATATTAATATAATAATATATCATATATAATAATATATCAATATAACAATCTATTCATATTGTAATGTTAATATTACTTCACCATATTGCTTTATTAATATGTTAATGTAATAATATATCATATATAATAATATATATTATTATAATATATATAATATATGATATATTATATATATAATAATATATATTAACAATATATTGTTAATATAACAATATATTAATGCATTAATATATCAATATTTTATTATTATATGTTATCAGCCTGGTCTAGTGGAGGGTTCCCTGCCCACGGGAGGGGGGGGAGGTTGGTCTGGATGATTTTAAGGTCCTTTCCCACCCAAACAATTACGAATAGAATATATTAATATATTCTATAATAAATATATAATATTTTAACACCCAGGGCACGCACCCCAAGCGCGTCTGACCCGCGGGTCTTTCTCCTCCCCGCAGCTTCCCGGAGCAGAGCAGCGCGCCATGAGCCACCCCTGAAACCTCGCAGGAACCTCCAAAACCGCGCCAAGAACCCCCCAAAATGAGGCTTTTCCGCCGCCGCTCCGGCCCCTTGAAGGCGGCGCTGGCGGGGGCCGCCTTCCTCTTCCTCCTCTTCCTCTTCGTGCTGCCGAGGGAGCGCCGGGAGCGGGGCGAGGAGGAGCCGTGGCTGCGGAACATCGCGCAGGGCAAGGCGCAGGTGCTGGACCTGATGCTCGGGGCCGTGCACAACCTGCGCGACTCGATGCCCAAGCTGCAGATCGGGGCCCCGCAGCCCCCCCGGGAGCCGCTGCCCGCCGGGGGCCGCCCCTGCCCGCCCGGGGTCTACACGGCGGCCGAGCTGCGGCCCCTCCTCGAGAGACCCCCCCAGGACCCCGCCAGCCCCGGCGCCGACGGGAAGCCCTTCAAGAAGGAGCGCTGGACCCCCGAGGAGAGCAGGGAGAAGGAGCGGGGCTACGAGAAGCACTGCTTCAACGCCTTCGCCAGCGACCGCATCTCCCTGCAGAGAGCGCTGGGGCCCGACAGCCGCCCCCCGGAGTAAGAGCCGGGCCCCAAAACCGCGGGGAGATTCCCGGGAATCCGGCACTCGTTCCCTCAAATTTGGCCCCGCTGCCTTCAAATGTTACCCTTATTCCTTAAAATTGGGTCCTTATTCCTCAAACTTGGCCACATATTCCTTTAAATTTGGCCACTTATGCCTCAAAATTTGGCCACTTATCCCTTAAAATATGGCCAATTATTCCTCTAAAATTTGGCCACTGATTCCCTTAAATTTGACCCCGATGCCTTAAAACGTTACCCTTATTCCCTTAAATTTTACCCTTATCCCTTAAAATTTGGCCCTTATTCCCTTAAATTTGGCCCTGATGCCTTAAAATGTTACCGTTATTCCTTATATTTAGCCCTTATTCCTCGAATTTGGCCATTTATTCCCTTAAAATTTGGCCCTTATTCCTTAAAATTGGGTCCTTATTCCCAAAAGTTTGGCCATTTATTCCGTAAAATCTGGCCACATATTCCTTAAAATTTGGCCACTGATTCCTCTAAAATGTGGCCATTTATTCCCTTAAAATTTGGCCCTGATGCCTTAAAATGTTACCGTTATTCCCTTAAATTTTACCCTTATTCCTCAAATTTGGCCACTTACTCCCTTACAATTTAGCCACTTATTCCTCTAAAATTTGGCCATTTATTCCCTTAAAATTTGGCCACTGATTCCTTAAAATTTGTCTTATTCCTTAAATTTGGCCACTTACTCCTTTACAATTTGGCCACTTACTCCCTTACAATTCTGCCTTTTATTCCCTTAAAATTTCACCATTTATTCCCTTAAAATTTGGCCACTTATTTCCTTAAATTTGGCCCTGATGCCTTAAAATGTTACCCTTATTCCTTAAAATTTGGCCACTTATTCCCGTAAAATTTGGCCATTTATTTCTTAAAATTTGGCCCTTATTCCCTTATATTCGGCCACTGATTCCTTAAAATTTAGCCACTTATTCCCAAAAATTTGGCCCTTATTCCTTAAAATTTGGCCCCTTATTCCCTTAAATTTGGCCACTTATTCCTTAAAATTTGGCTCTTATTCCTTAAAATTTAGCCACTTATTCCCTCAAATTTGGCCACTCACTCCCTCGAATTTGTCCCTTTTCCCCCCGAATTTGGCCCTTATTCCTTAAAATTTGTCCCTTTTCCCCTCGAATTTGGCCCTTATTCCTTAAAATTTAGCCACTTATTCCCTTGAATTTGGCCACTTGTTCCCTTAAATTTTTGCCCCCATTCCCCGAAATTTCGGGGGATGTAAACCCGCCTGGGGACGGGGAGTCTCTCGGCGCTGGCAGCTGAAGAACGGCGGCAGAGCCGAACCCCGACCCTATTTATTAATATTTCCCCCATTCCGGCCCCTCGGGGTCGGTTTGAGGGCCCCGCGCTCTTTGTGCCTCCGGTACCTGCTCGGGGGCTCCGGGATCTCCCCCCTCCCCCTCCTCTCTCCCTCTTTTATTCCCGCCGGCTCCAGAAATCCCACTTTTTCTTTTCTCAGCCGAGTGGAACAACCCCGGCCCCCGCTGGGTGTGCGGGGACAGACATGGGGGGAGGAGGGAAACGGGGGAAATCCAGGGATTTCCTCCTGCCGGATTTACCACGGGGGCCCCCCCCCGACCTGCCTGCGCCGGAGGGGGGAGGGAATTCGGGCTGGGAAAAGCCTGGAATGGGAGGGAGAAGAGGAGCCCCCTCCGCGTTCGATCGATTATCTGCGATCGGCGGGGACAAAGGGGGGGTCGGGAATGGGAATCAAAGCCGGGATGAACCGGGGGGGGCCGGGAATGGGAATCAAAGCCGGGATAAACCGGGAGGGACCAGACCGCCCTCCCGCTGCGGGCTCTGGGGTCAGAGGGGTCGTTCCCGTCGCTCCCCCCGCCACCAAACCCCCCCGCCGCGTGTCCCCAAAGGTGCATCGACCAGAAGTTCAAGCGCTGCCCGCCCCTGCCCAGCACCAGCGTGGTGATCGTGTTCCACAACGAGGCCTGGTCCACCCTGCTCCGAACCGTCTACAGCGTCCTGCACTCGGCCCCCGCCAGCCTGCTCAGGGAGGTCATCCTCGTGGATGACGCCAGCACCGACGGTGGGGACACGGGGGGGACGCGGGGGACACGGGGGGGACGCGGGGGGGACAGGGGTGTGGGGACCTGCTGTGCGCTGTGTCCAGTGTCCTGCACTCGGCCCCCGCCAGCCTGCTCGGGGGGGTCATCCTCGGAGATGACGCCAGCACCGACGGTGGGGACACGGGGGACACGGGGGGGACACGGGGACAGAGGGGTGTGGGAGCTGGGGTGGGATGCAGGATCCAGAGGAATGTGGGGACCAGGGGGATGTGGGGACCAGGGGGATGTGGGGACCAGGGGGATGTGGGACAGAGGGAGGAGAGAGCGGGGTGGGATGCAGGATCCGGAGGAATGTGGGAGCTGTGGTGGGATGTGGGAAGAGAGGGATGTGGGGACAGAGGGATGAGAGAGCTGTGGTGGGATGCAGGATCCGGAGGAATGTGGGAACCAGGGGATGTTGGAGCGGGAGTGGGATGAAGAAGCTTTAGTGGGATATAGGGGCAGACGGAGGTGGGGGCCAGAGGGACGAGGGAGGTGTGGTGGGATATGGGGCAAGAGGGATATGGAAGCCACGATGGGATGCAGGAGCCATAGTAATGTGGTTACCAGGGGGATGTGGGAGCTGTGGTGGGATGTGAGGAGAGAGGGATGAGGGAGCCGTGGTCGGATTCAGGGGCCAGAGGGAGGAACAGGAGCCCCGGTAAGGTGTGGGATCGGGGGGATGGGGGATCAGAGGGATGCAGGTGGGATTTGAGGGGGCAGGGGGAGGAACAGGAGCCCTGGCAGGGTGTGGCATCGGGGGGATGTGGGATCAGAGGGATGCGGAGGATGCCCGGTGTCCACTCCCGGGAGCGATTGCTCCGATCCACGGGGAGACGCGGCTCGTGCCGATCCCGGGGCAGCCCCGGGACGTTCCAGCAGCTCCTCCCGCTGCGTCACATCCCTCGGGATGTTCCATTCTCCAACAAACACCGATCCAGACCCGGCCCTGGACACAAACCGGGCGCTCCTCCCGCGTCCCGCGAACACCTCGTTCACGGCGAACCCAGGCATCCGCGCCCGGGGCTGAGTAATTAACCGCGTTAACCGCGCCCGGGGCTGAGTAATTAACCGCGTTAACCGCGCCCGGGGCTGATTAATTAACCACGTTAACCGCGCCCGGGGCTGAGTAATTAACCACGTTAACCGCGCCCAGGGCTAATTAATTAACCACGTTAACCGCGCCCGGGGCTAATTAATTAACCACGTTAACCGCGCCCGGGGCTGATTAACTAACCACGTTAACCGCGCCCGGGGCTAATTAATTAACCACGTTAAGCGCTCCCGGGGCTAATTAATCACCCACGTTAACCGCGCCCGGGGTTAATTAACCGGCGGGTTCAGGGTGGAGGTGTGGGAGGAGCGGACTCCGCCCTCGGCCCGGATAAATTCCCACTTCCCGAGGAGACTCCGGTGCCGCGGGGCTGCACCGCCCGCGAACGCGGCCCCCGCTGCGGTGGGGACGGGGGGGCACTCGGGGTCCCTTCCGAGGGTGGGTCTCGGGGGGTCCCTTCCCGGGGTGAGTCTCACGAGTGACACTCGGGGTCCCAGCTCTCACGGGTGGGTCTCGGGGGGTCCCAGCTCTCCCGTGGCCATTCCCAGCTCTTGGCTGCCCCGAAATCCCGGTTTCCTGTGGTGACACCGTGTCCGGTGTGTCCGCCCCTCAGTGACAGTTCGGTCCCGGTGACACTTGAGGCGCGGGGGCGGGACCTCCCCCCCGGCAGCGCCCTGATCCCTCTCCAGAGGGGGATTGGATGGGAAGGGGCATTGGATGACGAGAGGGGGGGCGAGTCCTTCGCAAAACTCCCTTTCTTTGGCCAAACCCAGTCCGGATTCAGCCAAACCCAGTCCGGATTCAGCCAAACCCAGTCCGGATTCAGCCAAACCCAGTCCGGATTTAAACAAACCCAGTCTGGATTCGGCCAAAATCGCGGGGATTTGGAGGAAGGAGGTTCTCTGTGTCTGAATCCGAACCCGGGAGCGGGGTCTGAGCAGCGGTTCCGGGGATGGGATGGGATAGGATGGGAGAGGATGGGATGGGAGCAGCAGTTCCTGGGATGAGCTGGGGGCAGCAGGATGGAAATGGGATGGGATAGAAGGAGGGCAGTGGGGTGGGATGGGAGCAGCAGTTCCTAGGATGGGATGGGAGGGGAGGGGGGCAGCAGGATGGAATGGGAAGGGGAGGGGAAGGGAAGGCTGAGGGGGGGCATCAGCGTGTGAGGGCACGGGATGGGAGCACCAAGGCGGGCTCGTGGGACGCAGGAACCGCCTCCTGCCCATCCCGACGGCTCCGGCTCCTGTCCCCCCGTCCCCCCGCCCCCAAATCCCGCAGAGTACCTGAAGGAGGAGCTGGATCGCTACGTGGAGCAGCTGCAGATCGTGCGCGTGGTGCGGCAGCGGGAGCGCAAGGGGCTCATCACGGCGCGGCTCTTGGGGGCCAGCGTGGCCAGCGGGGACGTGCTCACCTTCCTGGACGCCCACTGTGAGTGCCCGCCCGCCCGGGGGTCCCCAGAGACCTCCCCCCTTTTTGATTCTTTCCCCCTTCCTCCTCTTACCCCCCTTTTCCTCTTCCCTTTTTTCCTCTTCCCCCCTTTTTTCCTCTTTCCTTTTCCTCTTCCCCCCCTTTCTCCCTCTTCCCCCCCTTTCTCCCTCTTCCCCCCCTTTCTCCCTCTTCCCCCCCTTTCTCCCTCTTCCCCCCCTTTCTCCCTCTTCCCCCCCTTTCTCCCTCTTCCCCCCCTTTCTCCCTCTTTATTTCCTTCCTCCTCTTTATTTCCTTCCTCCTCTTTATTTCTCCCCTTCATCTTTCCCCCTTTTTCCCTCTTCCCCCTCTTTCCTTTTCCCTCCCTTCCTTCTCTTTATTCCCTCCCTTTCCCCTTTATTTCTCCCCCTCATCTTCCCCCCCTTTCCCCTCTCCCCCCCTTTTCCCCGTTCCCTTATTTCCCCCCTCCCCCGTTTCCCCCGTTTCCCCCGTTCCCAGGCGAGTGTTTCCACGGCTGGCTGGAGCCGCTGCTGGCCCGCATCGCGCACGAGCCGCGGGCCGTGGTGAGCCCCGACATCGCCACCATCGACCTGCACACCTTCGAGTTCTCCAAGCCCGCGCCCGGGGGGAAGCAGCACAGCCGCGGCAACTTCGACTGGAGCCTCACCTTCGGCTGGGAGCTGCTCCCGGCCCGCGAGCGGCAGCGCAGGAAGGACGAGACCTTCCCCATCAGGTGAGAGCTCCCGACCCGCCCGGGTCTGCTCCTTCTCCCAAAAATCGGGGGGTTGGTGCCTCTGGGGGAGCGATTCTGCCCCTTTTCCCAAAAAATCGGGGGTTTTGGTGCCTCTGGGGGAGCGATTCTGCCCCTTTTCCCAAAAAATCGGGGGTTTTGGTGCCTCTGGGGGAGGGATTCTGCCCCTTTTCCCCCCAAAATTGAGGGTTTTGGTGCCTCTGCGTGAGGAATTCTGCCCCTTTTCCCGACAAATCGGTGGTTTTGGTACCTCTGGGTGAGCAACTCCGCCCCTTTTCCCAACAAATCGATGTTTTTCTCGCTTTTGGTGCCTCTGGGGGAGCGATTCCGCCCCTTCCCAGTGGAGTTTTCCCCCTGGGAGAAGGACGAGACCTTCCCCATCAAGTGAGATCGGCGCGGGGGAGGGTCCTGACCCGCTTGATTTTGCTCCTTTTCCAAAAAATCGGGGGTTTTTGTGCCTCTGCACGAGGAATTCTGCCCCTTTTCCCCCCAAAATTGGGGGTTTTGGTGCCTCTGGGGGAGCGATTCCGCTCCTTCCCAGTGGAGTTTCCCCCTTGAGACAGCGGTGACCGGTGATCCAGTGAGATCGGGGCGGGGGGTGGAGTGTCGTGATCCGCTCGGTTCTGCTGCTTTTCAAAAAAATTCGTGGGTTTGGTGCCTCTGGGTGAGGAATTCTGCCCCTTTTCTCGACAAATCGGGGTTTTCTCCTCAGTTTTGGTGCCTCTGCTTGAGCAATTCTGCCCCTTTTCCCAACAAATCCGTGTTTTCCTTGGTTTTGGTGCCTCTGTGGGAGTGATTTTGCCCCTTTTCCTAACAAATCGGGGTTTTCCTCCGTTTTGGTGCCTCTGGAGGAGCAATTCTGCCCCTTTTTCCAATAAATCTTTTTTTTTTTCCTCGGTTTTGGTGCCTCTGGGTGAGCGATTCTGCCTCTTTTCCCAACAAATCAGTGGTTTTGGTGTCTCTGGGTGAGCGATTCTGCCCCTTTCCAGTGGATTTTCCCCTTGGATAAGGATGAGACCTTCCCCATCGAGCAATCCCAGCACGGGGGGATTCCTGATCCAGTTGGTTCTGCTCCTTTTCCCAACAAATCGGTGGTTTTGGTGCCTCTGGATGAGCGATTCTGCCCCTTTTCCCAACAAATGGGGGTTTTCCTCAATTTTGGTGCCTCTGGGGGAGCGATTCCGCCCCTTCCCAGCGGAGTTTTCCCCTGGGACATCCCAAAACTCGGATTCCCATCACTCTGTTCGCATTTTAACCCTCCTTTGCCCCCGCAGGTCTCCCACCTTCGCCGGGGGCCTCTTCGCCATCTCCAGGTCCTACTTCGAGCACCTCGGCGCCTACGACGACCAGATGGAGATCTGGGGGGGGGAGAACGTCGAAATGTCCTTCAGGGTGAGGTTCAGGTGTGAGAAAAACATCTCTCTTTTAAATTTAAATTTAATTCCATTTCAATTGTAATTTTAAATCCCTCGTAAACCCTGGGGAAGGAAGAAACGAGGGAAGGATTTACTCGACGCATCGGGACTTTTCTCCCGCCGAGTTTCCGGGGGAAAAGAACCCCC